AAATTAAAAACTAAAGAAGAAGTTAATAAATTATATAAAATTAAGAGACTAAATTGTAAAAAAAAAGTTTAAGGGTTACTTTCGTCTCTGTAGTAGATATAATTTACATTTTTGTTCCTATGATATTTTAAATCAATTTAGCTCTCGAAATTATTTAATCGCATAAATGTTTAAAATATTTACTATTGTTTAGGGTTTTAAGTTAGGTTAGAGTTTAGGAGTTAGGATTTATAATTATTGTTTTAAATTAGGATTCAGAGTTTAGAATTTAGGATTAAAGTTTAAAGTTTAATGTGATACAATTAAATAACTTCCCGAACTAACTTAATACGAAAATATCAGACAAAAATGATAAATTATGTTTACTATATGGACAAAAATAATCTTTTAAGCTTAAAAAATATATTTTTGAAAACAGAAAAATTAAATATATATATATATATATATATATATAATTTAAATTATATATATATCGTAATTGAGGAGCATATAATTGCAATCTAATACATAAAACTAGGTATGAAATCCATAGCCTTTTCTCTATCTCGGCTTGTTGTTTTGTCAGAAGCTCATCAGCAGCTTTAGCTTTGTTTGAGGTTAAAAAAATGAGGATATTCGAGTTACTTGTAAGTACACGACAATCGTCTTGTTTGTTAGAAAATATTTGAATATATCCAAATTAGTGCGAGACACTTAAATTGCTAGTTGGGTGAATGTGTCTCGAATACTGATTAGTGCTTTAAATAGTTTTTATTTTATTGTTAATTACTCATTGATTATCGATTTTTGTTGCTGATTTGGACATTTCACTTGTTTTTTTGGGTAGGATGTTGGATTCAGAAATGACACTTAAATGACGTGATTCTGTAGTTTTTTTTTATATTTTCTGGAATCAAGGCCGATTTAGTGGGCATGACTACATATGATGTGTCATCTAGTCAGTAACTTTAGAAAGTCCAATCAGCAGTTTTGTGAGGATAGGAGACTCAGTCGCAAATTCAAAATTCAAATTTGGAATTATCTTTATTTTTAGATTTAATTCAAACAATTTCCAATAATTATTTATTGTCATTTTTGTTACATTGTTAGGGTTTTAGGAAGCTATAAATACCCCATTGGAGCAAGCTTTAAAATATGTCTCGTTCTTCAATTTAGCTTCTGTTCTTTTCTTTCTTTAGCTTTATAAAAATTCTTATTTTCTTTCATTTCACTTTTCTTTTATTTTTCAAATTATTTTCTTTTAAATCATACTCATCTAATTTTTCAATAAGCCAAATGCTTAAGCGATGACTCAATTCCGATTGTGAGAATTGAAAAACAAGTAAAACTCTTCGGGTTACATTATCAATTTTCTGGAATCAATGATTGACAATCAGTCATCCTTTTAAAATCAAAACGCTTTCATTTAAGAAAAGGCTGGTTGTTTTGATTATTGTTTCGATTTAAAGTTGGGAGGAAGGATTGACTTATAACACATTCGACTTCCTGTGAACACACTTAGCAGCGGTCTGCTAAAGAAAATTGAAATCAAATTCGATTCTTATTGAGACAACATAGATCGGATTTCTCCAGATCTTTCAATTGAGTTGGCACTAACAACGATTGTCGCGATTAGTCCACAAAAGGGCTGAAATTCAAATATTGATTTTGGATTATCGGTTTACCAGAGAAAAAAACAAGTTACAGGGGTTGGGCCTTGTAGACTGTAACCAACATGAATCTGAAGCTAAAATCTTATTCAATGATCGACGGAATTTGAGGCAAAAGCGAAAGCCTAAGGCTGTTTTTATTATTAGATTTTTTTATCTCAATCATTTTCTTTAAACTTCATTAGATTAAACCTTTATTTTCTTCTTAATCTTTCAAACAAAACCCCCTTATTTTTTACTTCTAATTTTTCGCCCAGATCAATATCAAAACCATCTAAATCAACAGCTCCAAAGTCCCTGTGGATCGACCCTTATAATCTTTTTACTATTCTATTTTATATCTTTTGAGATTAAGAAATTTATTTGACATTAAAACGACTTGTGTCAAATACTCACAAAGAATAAAGCTAGTCAAGTGTGTTTTCAATGTTTTGTGACCTCATATCTCACCATAGGTCACCCTAGGTATCGTGCAGGAAATATCTTGGGTAGGCTAGGAAGGTGTGAGTCCCGAGATGGTAAGTGACCCTCCACTACACCATGATGCCTACCCAAGTTTGTGTGTTTAATGTTTTTGTGTGCTTATGACTATACATGTTAGCATGCCCATGTGATGAATGTATGTAGTATGGTAGAATTATTTATGTGGCACTAAGTTTTTGAACTTATCATTCGGAATATATTTCTATGCGCACATTTTTAAGAGGATTGTCGAAGAATTTATTGTCGTTTCATGTTTCAAGTTAACTAGCAGCATAGTGAGTCTTCGATATTTTTAGTGGTCATATATTATTCTTTGACCTTATTTGTATTTGATTCATAACTCTATTTTGATGTATTTATCACTATAACTATTTTGGGATACATTATTGGGAGTTCCCCACTTTTGCAAACTTACTATATTTATGTCTTTAAACTATGTTTTAAAAGATGAATATGATTAAAGTATTTCAAAAGAATGGTTAGCCACGTAGGTGGTTTAGTGTAACGTTTTGCTCTAGCGGGTTTTAGATCGGATCGGATTAAGGTGTTGTAATCATGGTTATTTATAAGTCTACAAGCAAGGTAGATCTAATAATCAGACTTTAAATTTTGTTATGGTGCATCACATGAGCCTGTAAGAGGACTTGTCTGCCAAAAGTTTTTTCTATGTGTTGTAGTTGACTTGAGGATTTACGCCAGGGGATATGAGCTTTTGGGGAACACGTAAAGAAATTTGGGCGAAGACCAATTATTAATGAACTGTTGGGAGATCCAGTACGACGAAGACTGAGAAGTTATATAATTTTGAATGCTGATATTTCTTAATTATTGACAATTCATACACATCCTACAAATATAAATGTTTGAGTCTAAAATTTCAAGGGAGAACAACAATTCCTTCAACCACTAAAGCCACTCAATAAATTCAGATTTTTTTTTTGAAATATAATAAAAATAGGCCATAACGAACCTACAAGATTCAAATATAATAAAAATGGGCCACAAGAAGGGTAAGTTCTGGGCAGGGGAAAGAGGGGCGCCCACTCAGAGCCCATAATTTTAATTTATATTAATTTATCTTTTTTTTAATAAACTAAATTAAAAACGGACCCATAAATATTAATATATTAATTTCTTAATTAATGTAAGAGGGCCTATAAACTTATTTCTTATTGTTCTCATAGTCATATAACGTTAAAAACTATATTAATATATTAAATTAAAAGCAGGACCCATAAATATTAATAAATTAAATTAAAAGCATGACCCATAAACTTATTTCTTAGCTTATCGTTCTCATCATAAGTAATGTTAAAAACTATATTAATATATTAAATTAAAAGCATCCCATAAATATTAATAAATTAAATTAAAAGCAGGGCCCATAAACTTATTTTTTATTGACTTATTGTTCTCATCCTAACGTCTATTTCTGGGTTAATCATAATGTTTATAACAGTTACTTTTTATTTCCTATAAATGATAGGTGAACATTGAGTAAAATTAACTTATTTCTTGCATTAGATATGAACATAGAGCCAATTTTTCCGACTAAGCATCGTATTTTTAGAAAAATATAATTTGATGAGAATGACCATGATGAAGAAATGCAATCAGCAGATGAGTCTTTTAAAGTTAATTATTTTTTTGTTATTGTTGATATGGCAATCACTTCTTTGAAAGATATATTTGAGCAGTTAAAGATTTTTGAAAATTATTTTGGATTTTTAATTAATTATACAAGGTTGAAGTCATTGGACGACAATAAATTAAAAGAATGTTATGATAATTTTAAGATTATTTTTTCTCATAATAATTTGTCGAATGTTGATGCAGATGATTTTTTTTCTGAAATGAAAGTGTTGCAATTGACTTTGCCAAATGTATTCATGTAAGTGCTTGAAGTTCTTGAGTTTGTTAAAGCTAGAGATTGTTATCCTAATGTTTCAATTGCTTATCGAATCTTATTAACAATGCCGGTAACGGTAGCATCCGCAGAAAGAAGTTTTTCAAAGCTGAAATTATTGAAGAGTTACTTGAGGTCAACAATGTCACAAGAAAGATTGAATGGACTAGCTATGTTATATATTGAGAAAAATATGTTGGAAAGCATTGATGTTGACACTATCATCAATGATTCTGCATCAAGAAATGCTCGAAGTCAATGTTTTTTTATAAGTATTTATATTCTTAAATATGTTTTTGACATTTTTAATATTGTAATGAATTAATATTTATTTAATTTAATAAAAAATTAATTAAAATTTTATATTGCATATTTTTTAATATTCTTTTAAATTAGGGCTCATTTTTCTAATTTTGCCCCGGGCCAAGAAAAAGTCAGAACCGACCCTGGCCACAAGTAACCACCTTATAATCTATTTCGCTTCTTAAAAATCGACTATATTCATAATTACCAAGATTAAAAGTGTTGTATTGTAGATTAATAATTTCAATATTAATCAAATACCAGGATTAAGATTGATTTGTAAAGGTTGACAATATACACTAACCAACTGAGCTTCACAGAAAATGCAGGCTATATCATTATTGGCAAACGTAAATCTTATGCAATTCAATACAAATGATGTCTCTTCAGAGCAGATTCCACTCCAAAAGATCACATCAAACATGCAAACCTGGCAGGAAATGCTAATAAAGACTTGCTCTTTAAACATTATTTAGACAGGTCTCTATGCCCCATAGAGACCAATTTCAAACCAACTTTATCGCTTTTTGGTGCATCTTCGCATCAAATTCCACAACAATGCATTCAGCCCCAGGGAAAGAATGGTGAAATAAAAAACACACACACAATGGCAGCATTCAGGGCATTTGTAAAAGCACCCCATGATTTTGTCACTGTATTACAAACCTATAGCTTATATCAGATATAACTAACTATTAAACTAAAACTATTTGGTTAATGGTTGCTTGTAGCCTTAGGGGCTTGGTCATGTTTGGGATGAAATGACTCCAATTTTTCATCTGTTTTTTGGTTAGTTTTGAAGGTGAAGATGGGAACTATTAGAATTGCCCTCCTGTGAAAGTTTGGCCGAACACCCAATTCGTAGGAGCCACGTTATCGGAGATGACCGTGCGGCCATCGCTCGTTGTGACCTTGAAAGAGAGTGCTTGACCATTCATGTAGGCATTGCTTTGCCAGTTTTGGCCCCAATTGCGAGACATCACTTGCCAACCGGTTTTAGACCCTTTAATGGAGACGGACACCACATCTCCGGCACCTCCGACATTGGTTATCAGCACAAGGTTGAAGTATGGATGTCCATTTATGGTAAACCTTATCCCACCGGATTTCTTACAAGCAACCCTGCAAACAAAATGATAACTTAGTTGTGTTGATTTGCTTTAGAAATTAGTTGACATGACTATGTTGTACACTAGTTTTTTGTGTTTTACCTTCTGTATGCAACAGGAACTATTCCAGCTTTATAGTGAGCTATATGTTGGAAAACAGGTTGTGAAAGATCGAAATGTCGTAGCGGAGGGTTACACCAGCCGCCTGCATTATTCTGGAGAGCGTTGTATGGAGGGCAGAAGTTCGTTGCTGTTACTATAATGGAGCCCGGGAGACACCATCTATTGTCACTAACACACTTGATCTCGAAGCACGCCCCACAAGTAAGCCCTTTGTTGAATAGAGCAGTGCTCAATGCAGCGGTGTTTGTGCCATAACCTTGGCCGTAAAGATTCCCATAGCCACATGCTCCACCTACAGCATACGGAAAAAGTAACTGAGAAAGGAATCATGGAAAGGGAGAGATGGTGATTATACATTTTGTGTCTGCTTAGTTCTTACCCATTGTTCCGGATGCATCGCCGCCTCCGTAGAAGGTAGCGTGAGCATTGGACCATCCGCCTCCAAGTCCATGAGTTGTCTTCAACATGGCAAGAGAAGATACAATAAAAATTCCAAGAAAATCCATTTTCTGCAAAACCAATTGACATTCAAATATCAGAATTTGAACATGAACAGAAGATATAGAAAGTATCTGATAAGTTTATATAAGAGAGATGATGTTCTTGTTCCTTACAAAGGCAAGAGTTAACTAAGAGTCAATGAGAAATAAGGTAAGGAAGAGCTGAGGGGACTAAGTTGTATTTATAGATGTGTGTCACTAGGGGAAGCTGATGTAAATATAGACGCTACCAAGGTTCATGGAGTTTTTTATTTCATATTTGAAAACGGATAATTAGCACCCTTATCTTGTTCAAAACTCTCTACCATTTGACAATGAATGTTTATACCCCTGCATACACGGTGCTCGAATCCGGGACCTCGAGGGATAACAACAATCTCTTAACGACTTAGATCGTTTGGTTAGTGCATTGCCACCCTTATCTTTTGAATGACATTTGCAATGATATCAGTGTGTTACTTTTGCACACTTCATATGAAAGAGTGGAAAATAAAGTGTAACCCTGAAAAAGGATGCTCAAATGGCTTGGACCCATGTTCTTGTTGACATTTCTTTATGAACCTGAAAAGAAGTAGACTAAAAGGCTATTTGCACCGATTGAAGTCCTCAACATTTTGTAAATTACTTTTTACTATGTTTTCTATGCATGTTCCTGGCCCATACTTAAAGAACCTCAAGAATCTTTCTAGGATGTGAATCTTATGGCAAAAGGGTTAAAGATATTTGAAAGAAATTTATCAGAGAAGTGATTGAGTACCATGAAAGTTAGGAAGATAAAAAGGATACACGACCATGGTGACGACTAAATGATTTCATGATGTTACACTGGAACCAAAAAAGTAGAGTTATCCTCAGATAAGGTTCTTTTTGTGGTACTGGTCAGTCTGGTCTAATGTCATCAGCTTCTTGTGCAGCTTATAGTTTAAGAATTGCCATATTGGTAAGTATCTGTCGAAAAGAATGCAGAAGAGAAACCTCTTAATGATGTCGATCGAAGTTCATCATCGGTGATCTCCGATTCCCCTTTCGGTCCTACGTTAAGATTAGATGAAACAAATTAGAATAAAGAATCAAACTATATGCTTAAGCTATCGAATATAGGCTACGAAAAGAAATAATCAAAGTGTTGTGCATGTGGCTTACCGTCCACCTCAGTAAAAGGAATTTATCTCTTTACTTTTAATCATCTTCGCAGTGCCTAATAGATTGCCTTTCCTAAAAGAAACGATAAAATTGAAAATTTCTTTTATTATATTTCTTTCTCGGTCATCACTCATGAGACGAGACAGATTATGAGCTACTCGAGTTTGACTCAATTAAAGTTTAATTAACACTCGAATCAAATAGACTTGAGTTCAAGCTCGAACTCGACTCGAACTATTTGATACCTAGCTCGAAAAGCTCGCAAGCTACTCGAAATAAATAATATATTAAAATTTTATTTTTAATTAAATTATTAATAATATTAACATTTATATGTTTTTTAATACAATATAAGGCTTTTATGTATTTAAGGTTCGAAATCAAGTTTGAGCTTCAATCGAACTAGGCCTGAGAATTTTTCAAGTGTAAATTTTTTTCGAGCTCGAGTTTAACTTCAATTTTTTTCGAGATCAAATTGATCTTAATAATTTTAAGCTCGTGAGCATTTTGTAAAAAAAATATAAGTTTGTGATCTTTCGAGTCGAGCTTCAATTTTATATTTTGAGTTCAAGTTAATATTAATAATTTTAAGCTCGCGAGCTTACAGTCGAGTTCACTCATCAATTCCCAAAGCAACGAAGAAAATTGTTCATATTTCATATACTAACAACCATATCATGGTAGTTTGAAGTGGCCACGAAATAAAGAAGAAAATAAATCCCACAACCAGATATAAAGTCCCAAAGAATGATGACAACAAATCAAAGCAGGCCACATACTCAAGTTACAGAGTTTTGTGAACCAAACTTAGCACATGGGATCACATGGCCAACTTGTTCAAGCAATAGGATAACATATAAAAGAAAAGCCTAAAAGGCCTACTTGAATGCCCTTTACACAGTTCATAGAGACTAGCAACTAGCAACTTACATATCAACTCTAATCCACACGAATACCAGAAAGTACATTTTGTTTTGTGTAAGCCACTGATCCCTATGACGGAGGCTCCACCGGGATTTTCCTGGTCACCACTGTTGTATTGGCCACTTCGAGTTCGAGGCCCCGCGCGCACATAATTCTTTAATAGAGAACATGTGGATGCATAATTCAAACAGCAGCATCTCAAAAGACTGGCATGCACTGAGAATCGCCATCCGGTGGAGTCCATGATATGTAAGTTCAATACTCTCTAAAGGATCACGGACTAAAAGGGGTTCTGGTGCTTGTCATTCAACTATTTGCTTCAGAGGCATGCCCCCATATTATAAGCCATATAGCTGGCCTTAGACCCCAATGTATATTAGTACTAAACAAACATACAATAACAAATATTTAACTTTCAAAGCAAACATCTCCATTCATATATTTGCACAAAGAACAAAAATGGAATACTTTCCAATTTAAGCATGAAAAGTAGACCTGTATGTTGCAGTGTAAATCACATAGATGGATCATTTTTAACAACACATTAGAAACAATCTTAGGAGACTTGCTTGCAACTCGTAATGTGAATGAGCAAGCAATAAGATATTCGAGATGTTCTTGCTACTAACCCCATAGGAAAACATAATATATTTGAAAGTAGCCAGAGAGTTTGGAAAGTGACTAAATCCATCCATTTGCAAGTGAATTGCATGAACTATGAAATAGACTCTTGTAGTCGAGCGCCATCTTTGCTAGAAGAAGATGAGCCGATCCTCTGGAATACCTTTGAGGTAAATATATCTTTACTTGCTTTTCCTTTAAATGTGAAATGTTTTTTGATATGGTTTTTTATCGAAGAACCGTTGCCGTTGCCATTGCCATTCCATCGTGGGGCTGGTCGAAGCCAGTTTCTCCTTAATTTTTCCTTCATATGATTTGAGAATTCATCGTCTTCCTGGCCTTCAGATATCATGGCACCCCTGCTCCTTCGTAAAGATCTTAAAGCCACTTGCAAAGGTTCTGAAACTGATGCAGATTCTTCTAAAGGTCCAATGGTTTTGAGACACAATGGGCACGGAGGATCATGAATCTGGGATTTTGGCGTGACTTGATCCAAGCATTCGGCATGGAACACATGGCTGCAGGGTAAAATCCCAGCAGTTGGCATGTCACCACTTCTAATTATTCGTTGCGAACTCCAGGGAGACTTGTGCCACAAAATTTTTCCACATACTCCACACTTGTGGTCTACCGCAGGGCCAATAGGGGACCTCAGGTTGTCCAAATCAACATGCTCTGCAATGTCAAAATTTTCTCCATCTAACCCCAGATCATAACTGCTAGCACTGCTCCACCTAAAACCTTCTCTTCGAGAGCTAGCACTTGGGTCTGGGGATGCATCAGACCTTTGAAGTTCAGAAAATGTTTTGTGGAACTTGTGGTCAACACTAGATCCGTTTTCATGCCAGTGAAATGGTGAGAAGCGCTCCTCGTTAGGTATCAACTTACCAATGCTGTTAAGGTCAGCATCACAGAAGCCTTCAGAATCCGAGACAGGGTTGCGAAACACTAGTGGGTAAACAGCTTTTGTCATGTAAGAACGTTTACTGGCATGGTTGCGATTCGGAAATGAGGACTGCCTGCCAGAGGAATCCAAGTGACCAGACTCAGAGAGGGAAGACGGGGATCCAAAGCTAGGGGATCCTGTAGTCGTTTTATTGGCATATCGCCTCTGCAAGAACAAAAAGAGGAAAATGATAAATGAAAAAAAATAAATTATTTAACTGCTACAAAACCCAACAAGTTGAAACACACGTCACCTCAGTGGAGCGAGGGAACCAAGAGGTCTGGGGACAGGTCCTGATAATTAAAATTACGTTAACAAATAAAACATATGATAGTGCAAACAATACAAATTTTATACAAACGAAACAAACTATAATTGAATCAGAAATATGAAAAGACAAAGGAAATAGCAACCTATGGTTGATTGGTATTGAAATTCAGGGAAATAGTTAGTCCTCTAAAAGAGGGAAAGAAAGAGAACTACAAATTCGATTTAGCAAAAATAAAACAAGCTATTCTGACATCCCTCACATCCTACATTTTTGTGAATTACAGATCCGTCTTCACACTCCAAGTGACAGCTTTGGAAACATCCACCACTTTGGCAATTTCATAATGTTTTTAAGTTTTACCAGCATAGTCAACGTATTATGATAAGCATTTTGCAGTTTTGTAAAACCCTTTAATTAATTCACATGTCGCACGGATACAAACATTTATGCAACAATTCAAAGCACTGAATCAGGATAGCCTCAACTATCTCTAAAGGGATGAATCAGGCTATCCCCCCCAATCAATAAGTTGAAATAAGCATTTTACTGCCTAACATCACTGCCAAGCAGAAGCTCGGCAACAAAATACATTATAGTGAACTACCAGGTAGGATTCGGTCAACTGAGGTAATTCTGCAGCAAAGAACGCAGATGGTTCCTCCATGCCAAAAAGGTAATCACTAATAGAGGACATCTGAAAGATTCTGACATTCTTGCATTTTGACATGTAGTTATAGTTCTAACGAGGCATTAATTCAAATGAATTCTACCACATCATCCTAATGAGAAATCTATTTTATACATCCTCTAATTTTGGAGCATGGATTGTTTTCCAATTCCGCACTTATACATTCTTGAATAACTCCCTAAATGACAAAACAAGCCATATGGAAAATAATTGGTATGATAAGGCAAAACATACGAAAATAGAAACCATGAGACAGAAGGTAAAGATAATCTTGATCAATAATCAGTAATGAATTCTTATAAAAAAATAATCAGTAATGAACAATTGAATTGTTCCTTATATTATGGCTTGAAGAAAGCAAAGACTTTCAAGAATCTACAATATTATGCCACAAATTAGTTCCAGTATTAAACAATTATGGTAATCTGAACTTATTTCGTCAGCCCTTCATTTCAGAAAAGATAATTAGCTGTGATTATATGAATTCCGATAGACGTATAGAAAGTACATGATATTGGGCATTCTGCTAAGTAGATAAAAGAAAAAGAAAAGAAACTGCATTAAGACATGCAACTAATTGAGCACAATTAAAACAGAAAAAGTGGCATGTGATAAGAACCAAAGTTAGGCCAGGTAGGCATGCCATGTTTGCTGATAAAAAAAATCAATCTAACAATACCTCCAACATTAGAGGCAAGGAGCTCCTCTCGGTTGAACCTTTGAATAGGTGAAGTCCATCGTGGCAACTGAGTAGTATAAGGTGGGCTGCCAGAATAAGAGAGTGCGCCATCAGAAACAGAATGGTGATGATTGATGTACCCTTCACTGCCTATCTTGCTTCTGCTACTCGTGCTATTTGAAGACAGTGATGAACCATGTATACCAGCAGCATGGGACCCATGTGACATACCATTTGAATGTAACCTACAATCCCATATTCTCAATGGAGGAGGTGAAAAACTAGAGTTTGTCCTCCAATGTGGTTCATTACCATCCATGGAACCTTCCCTTCTGCTTGTGGGTGATTTTGTTCCATGTGGCCCAGCGGCCACACAACAAAGTGCACCCGTATTAGCTATTTTCTGTTTGCACAATAAGGTTGTTCGGTAGTCTATTTTAAGATTTTCATGGAAGTATGGAACTCCACATGCTTATCAGGACTCGAGCACATTCAAATGTCAACAAGAAATTATTGAAGCCCACAGCTATCCACCCAAGACTCGAACAGAAGCAGAAGGCACGTCACATTCCCATCTTTGGAGGAATAATAACGGGAAACAAAAGTGCAATTGAGAAACTTTCGACTCCAATAATCCAATTGAACTTGAACAATAGGATTCCTTAGAACTCGGCTATTCCTGGCTGCAATCATCCATTTCAGCAAAGTAATGAGTAACTCGATATAATCTTATGGTCAATGCAGAGGAAGAAAGAAAACTGAATTAAAATAGATCTTAAACAAACAAAGATGAGGAGGAAAAAAAACAATAATATGATAGTCAACATCACGAATTTAGGATGAAATGATATGCCATTGTTTAAAAGTGAACATGTCTCATAAATTTACTAAAAGGTATTTTATATCTGGACATGCAAACACCCACACCCAAAGGGAAAGACAATCGGTAAGCTTTACAACAGAAAACACATAGTGAATTACTGGAAGTACAGAGAAAATGCAGTTGATTATACAATCTTCACACCTTTTGTAGAATATACCTAAGCTAGTCTTTCCACATTTTTTTGCACATCGTTGACCTCTTTCATACCCCTTTCTCCTTTTAGCTGCAGTTGATTATGCAATTTTGTAGAACAGAGCAGACAAGTATCATTATTTTGATAGCAACAAAACCTGAAAGGATTTCTGAAGAAGTCTCTTACAAGTGTGAAGAGTATATAATTATGAGCAACACTTTCAAACCTAAGATTATGTTCCCAATAATAAGCAAATCAACCCTCGTAATCAATCATTGGTAAAAACAAATCTACTTCAAAGTCCTAAAGCATCATACAAGGAAACGATAACCTTTGCCCTTCACTCAAAAAAATACCTCGAACTTCTCATCAAAAGTAGCAATTACCCAGAAAAGAAAACCACTCCAAAATATGAAATATACCCAAACTCAAAAATAAGAAATTTCCGCATCTTATCTTTTAATCAGCTAATAACACAAACCATATCCTCCCCACATAAAATCATGAACCAAAATGAAGAGAGAAAAGGAGAGTACCTTAAAAAGGGCCAAAATCTGAAGTGGATTATGATGAAATCTGGGATTTTAAATTAAAAGAAAACCCAAAGAAACCCTAAGCTGTTTAGAATAAAAATGGGGGGAAAGGGAAATGAAACAGAGAAAGTGAATGAAGAAAAGGGTAAAGGGTAAAGGGTAAAGGGTAAGAGGCTAATGAGAAGTGAAAGTGACGGGGGCATTCACATTATTGTTACTACAACGACAACGACAACGATTGCGATCATGTCGAGAAAAAGAAAATTTGTAAGGATTTGCTGTAACATTTATCTTAAATAAATTACTATTTTTAAGAAACGGAATAATTGTTCCTTGCCTCAGGACACAACCGACAAAGTTTCATGTTTCTGTTCTAGAGTCATTGCTTTGCCATTGATCTAAAAAGTGCAAAGTTTAACTCAAGAAAACCAAGGTTAAACTACATGTTTAATACATTAATTATTATTTTTATCATTTTTGATCACACAATTACTTTTTTAAAATCATATCTTTTGTTTTAGTCTGATAATCAATCATTAAAAAGTTAACACAGCCATTGACATTATATTTTTAAAAAAATTCAATTATGATGTGATAATATTTTATAGTGATATATTAATATATTAATCTTTTAACGTTATAGGATTAAAATGTAATGTTATATATGATTTTAAAATAATAAATAATTAAGTAATTAAAATAGAATAAAAGTGATAAATAAAGTTGTTAGCAAGATAATAAGGATGTTTAAGCCTGTTGAAATACACGCCATTATCCAATGCCTCCAACACTCTACGGCTTTGTTTATCATCTTTTGCCAAATGCTATGATAACGTTAGAGATAAAGTGATAAATAAAAGTGATAATAAGAGTTCTCAATAATCGGTTAGCAAGCTGTGTGGAAAAAGTGACGGGGGAAAATCAATTCGCGTTCATAGGAGGAAAACAAGTCTCAGACTGTTCTCTATCTCGTAATAACAGAGAAGCGATCATCTTCAAGGCCGATTTTAGTAAAGCGTACAACTCAGTGGATTGGAATTTTTTGAACTTTATCATGAGAAAAATGGGATTTGGTGAAAGATGGAGGCATTGGATAATGGTGTGTATTTCAATAGCCTCTATATCCGTCCTCATCAATGGGAAGCCATCCGAGTCGTTCAAAGCCAAAAAGGTTTGAGACAAGGGTGTCCCGTCTCCCCTATTATTTAATTTCGTCGGTGAAGTGCTGAGCTTGATGATAAACAAAGCCATAGAGTTGGGCTGTTGTAAAGGTGTTAGGGTAGGCGCATCGAATTTGCGAGTGTCTCAATTGTAATTTGCTGACAATCTGTTAGTGATATCAGGAGACATGGAGCTGATCAGGAACATTAAAAGAGTTCTTAGAATATTTGAAGTTATGTCGGCTCAACATGGCAAAATCAAAGTTGAATGGCGTAAACATCGATTAAGCAGTGATCTCAAGGTGGACGTCAGAAATCAAATGCAATGTGGATAAGCTCCCCACAACCTATGTGGGTCTTCCATTGGGATATTCGAGAAATAGTAATGAGTTATGGAAACCTGTAATTGATAAGGGTTAGAGCAAGATTGGATGGGTGGAAGTGCAAATTGCTTTCGTTTGGAGGTAGGACTACATTGATTAAGTCAGTATTGAGCAATCTTCCAGTTTTTTATGTCTCTGCTCCAGATGCCTATGTCGGTGGCAGATACTCTAAATAAGATGATAGTGAAGTTTTCATGGGGGGCTATGTCCGGTAAAGGTATCCATTGGGTGAAGTGGGAACGTGTTTGCTCCCCAAAATCAGTTGGAGGCCTTGGTATGGAGGCTATGGACCAGATGGTGTGCGTTGTGGAAAGTTTCGATTGTTATGCCGAAAAAAGCTAAGAGTCTACTCTTGATATGGAACGATCAACCGATTAAAAAGGAGAAAAAAAAATCTCTCTGGAGGTTGGCGTCTTTTGGATTGGTGTGGTCCATATGGTTGTTTCGAAATGATACTATCTTCAATAAAAACAATCCTGCTGTGAAAATAGACTTTTCGACCAGTCTATGTTGAGAATTGGGTGTTGGGGCAATTGCAATTGGCCACATATTGTTCCTTGTATTTCTGATTTTACGAATTGTTTGTGGAGTTTGCAGAGTTAGCATGGCACGTGGTGGAGCCGAAGTGAAGAGTGGGATGAATGAAATCGAACTTAGTTGATGGATTGGATTGTAGTGTCTGCTTAAGACTTCTGAAGCTACAAATGCTGTAGTGGATACTTGTTGTTTGGTGCAGGTCTCCCTTCTTCATGGTTGATCGTCTGTTGAAGCTCGAATAGGGGCTGAAGTTTCGAATGTGGTGCTGCTCTTGCTGGGATTCATCCTATTCAGCGGTTTAGGGTAACCAACCTGCTGTAGAATCTGGTTTGGTGGTGCATTTATACAGTTTTTCTTGGTTTAATTGTAATGTTGAGTGTCGTATTGTGTAGAAATATTTGTGCAGTATACGGTTGCTGATAGCTTTGAACACTTATTTCCATTGATCCAGTTAAGTTTAAGAAAGGGTTTTAACGAGGCTCTATCAATGTTCGTTTTGTATGATTTTATCGCTTTAATCATACAAAATCCCTTTTAAAAAAAAAAGTAGAGATAAAAAATGGAAAAAAAATCTATGGTCAACACTGTCTCTTACTAAAACTCCTTGCAGAAACAATTATTGTTAGCAATTATTGTTAGCAAAGCTTATAACCTCTTGGACCCAGCTCCAGGTTTCAAAACACCATAAGAGTTATACGATTAGTGAAAGAGACGAGTATAAAAAGTTGGATAGCTGGTTACTCTAAGACAATCAATTTATGCTCATCGTTGAATTAAGGAGGATATTTTAAGGTTTAACTCTAGCTTGAAATTTAAATATTTGTTATGTGATTGTTGAAATTTAAATATTTCTACTTAAAACATTAATATTTTTTAACATTTCAGGTAAAGTGTCTAATAATAACAAACCGATAGAAAAAATAATGTTTTAGGTAGCGCTTTACCGGATATGTTAACAAAACCGGTAAAGCGCCCAAAAATAATAAAAACGGTAGAAATAATAATGTTTTAGGTAATTTTTTACCGGAAATGCTAAAAAATAATAACAAAACCAGTAGCGTCTTTTCTTAGTCGTATATTAAGGCTGTCGCACGTGAGACTTCCCCCACTGGCGGAGTCAATGTACATTTCATGATGTCAATTTACACCCCAAAATTTATAAAAATAAATAATTTTTAACGAAAGTATTACGTGGCACTTAAAAATTAATAAAAAAAACATTTTGTCTTTTTCTTCTTAAAGAAGAGAAGGAGGAGGCGCGTGCACGTGATTTTTTTTAAATAGTTGCCTTGTAATGCTTCTGTTAATGGGTTAATGGACATTAACAATTGAGAAACTTAAATCGGACGGACCGATAACGAAAAGGACTAAGCGCATTTAATTTTTGTGGTGACTAAAGTCGATCATACCGAAAAATTAAGGGGCCTATTCGCATAGTTTACCCTAGTTACTTACATATGTTTGAGTTTATGCATTTTAAAAAATTATATATGTATATATATTACGATTTGTGTTTAAGGTTTGAGATTATATCTCGTAAAGATAAGTCTAGAATGAGTAACACACATCCATATGCATAATTAATGATGTGTAACGATATGTACCACTAGTATAAAAATATGGTAAAATTCATAAATGGTAATTAAATTTAGGGTAAAGTATATAAATAGTCTCTGAACTTTTAGGACGCTTGCATTTAGGTCACCTAACTTTTAAAACTTGCAATGCAATCATTAAACTTTTAGTTTATTTTCATTAAGGTCCCTGTCGTTACCTCTCGTTAGTTTTTGTTGACATGTCACTTAACTGCCGTTAACCCTCCCCCTTCTTCTTCTTCTTCTTCTTCCTTCCTCTTCCTCCTCCTCCTCTTCTTCTCCCGTTCTCATTCACCCCATCTTCGGGTCACCCTACCTCCAGTCAAGTGTGGCTTGCACCACCATCACCATCGTCACCGACGTCACCTCCCTACCACACCTTAACCCTTAATTCATACTCACCATCCATCGTTCATCCCAAATCACGAGGAGACCATTCGAACACCCATCCCTTATCTTTGTCGTCAGTCACCGGTGACCGTCACTGTCGATACCAATAGGAGTGTCACCCTATTTTGACCAAAACCCTACTAACCACTTGCCGAGACTCACCTTCGTTCGTTATGGAGAGAGTTTCGAAGATCATCGGAAAACCCCAACGCCCCTTCTACTTTCATCAATTTTTGGTCAATTGGACTGTTCATTTGCCACATCGCCACCACCGTTGGAGTCCTCACACTATTTTGACCAAAACCCAGTCGGCCGTGCTTCCTTGCTGTCATCCTTCCTCAGTTCGTCGTTGGTTAAAAACATAAAAGAGGTGTTGGGGTCTTCTCACGATTTGGGACGAACGATGGACGGTGAGTATGAATCGAGGGCCAGGGTGTTGTCGGGAGACAACGTGGTGACGATGGTGATGGCGGTGTGAGCCACTGCTGATTGGAGGTAGGGTGAACGAGAACAAGAGAATAACAAGAATAAGATGGGGGAGGAGGGTTAACGACAGTTAAGTGCCATGTCCACGAAAACTATCGGGAGGTAACGACATGGACCTTAATGAGAACGAACTAAAAGTTCGATGACTGTATTACAAGTTTTAAAAGTTGGGTGACCTAAATGCAAGTTCCCTAAAAGTTCAGGGACTATTTATATATTTTACCCTTAAATTTAATAAAATGATTTCATTTGTCATTGTTTTTTAAAAGTTATAAAATAGATATTAAAGTTCAGATTTTATTGAAAATAGATAACGATCGTAAAATATTGTTAAAGGAGTTAAGTGACATATTAAATTAATAAGAAATATCTTATTTGACCCATCAATTATAATTAAATTTCATGTTACTTTTTTCCCAATATTTTTAAGTAATAGTTTCAAAAAGAAATTGGAAATTTTAGAATTTAAAAAAAATACATGAAAAATATTTATTTTTAAAATTAAAAATTTTATTTTATTTTTTTCATTTGTCAAATTATTTTATAATTA